GAAGTGAAGATGGTATGATTTTGCTTGCGATTTTTTAAATTCAGAAGTAGGAATCGAAGCAAGATCTTTCGGACAGACGTTGGAACAAGTTAGAGAGGTTTTTACAAATAAAATGCGTAATTTGTTCACTTTGTATTTTTTGTTAATTAATTAATTACGTTTATTTTGATGGTACCCATTTATCCCAATAAAAATCTTACAGTAGAAAAAGGGCCAAGTTCCAGACCCCCTCCAAAAAAGTTAGCTTATCAATGATTTATATCTACACTGCAGCCAATCCGCTCTTTTTTTAGTTCATAACCTGACAGAACTCAAAAGATGAAGTTCCATACTTACTCCCAAAAAAGTAAACAAATCAGCCTATCAAAGTAGTGATAGTAGTAGTGAGGCAGTAGTGACACAGGAGAGGAGGGTGAAGGGAAGGTACAGAACTCACAGGAATAGAAAAAAGTTCCACTCTCCTCAATGCTGATTAGCTGCGTAGCCACCCGTCTGTCCTGACTTGCCTGTCAAGGAGACCTTTGAAATGCCCAATTTTCATTATTTTTGATTTGATATTTTATACAGCTTCTGGTGTTCTTTCCACGACGGCTGAATGGATGTTCACGTTTGACAATAAAGATGTAAGGCTACTTGGCTATCCGCCTACAGTCTGGCACTTTTCGGCCCATTAAAATCCATACTCATCTCTAGCCATTCGATTGCTTTAAAATAGCGATTTGCTTTTTTCTATGAAGATCGTACATTGCGGTTGTTCGCGCCAAAAATAGCGAATTATAATTGTTTATTTTCTTTCCGAAATGCCGCTAATCTCGAATTTATCCTAGCTCTGTTCCCTACCCACAATCCTGTCCTGTTGCTGCCTAGTCCTGCTCTAGTCCTGTTCGCTTCCGTCTCGCTTCCATACAGTCCACTGTTAATTAGCCTCCAAGAGTGATTTTCTTTTACTTTTCTTTCAGTTTTTCTCTTACTTTCAAGAAGCATTTTTTTTTTCGTCTTGTTAATTATCGCGTTCAAAATAACGCGAGTGTCTCCTCCCGCATCCTTAACGCGACACATCATACAGGGTTCGGACGGAGCCCCTAAGGTAATTAATAGACTAGGATTCTGTTTTATCTTTGGCCAGATGCAGGTTCTAGTGTATTAAACGGCTCTCCTCCCTGGTTGTCGAGAAAATCAAGCCACAGTTACCGAGTTAGTATTTTATTTATTTTGTATTTTATTTTATTTTGTATTTTTATTTTATTTTATTTTATTTTTATTGCGACCGACCAGCGTGTGCACAGCGGTATTGCGCATTCCGTGGGGTTTAGCGCTTGTGTGGTTGCAGGATGCATCCATTTCTCCACCGGAAGCGAATGGAAAAATACCTACATGGATTATAAATATAAGATATAAGCCATAGTTAGGTTGTTTCTTTTAACTGGATGTGTCCTCTGGGTGCAGTGTTGGCCATTTTTTTCATTGTTCGGGAGAGAGAAAAAACATGTGTACATATTTGCATATATTGCGGTAGTACATAGTACATATTGAGGGCTAGAAATAAATTATTATTACAAAAAAAGTTTGTGGTATCAATCTAATTGCTGGTTCGTTCGTCGTCTACGTGGTCTGTTTATGCAGAAAGTTCGATTATGTGTTCAAAAATGAAAACATAAACACTGCATTGGGCATGCACTAGTACCAGAAATTTACATTTATGAAAATTAAGTCCCGTTTTGTGCGGAAAAATGAATCTTTTAAGTTTTGCCGGTCTTCAGGTCCCAAACAGAAACTTACCTGACATCTACTCGTTCCGAATGAAACCATCCGTCCGGACGTAACCAGCCCAGGAGAAAGAAAATTGAAAAGTATCACTTTCCAGAGCTTTTTCAAAACATTTTGAAATAAATAATTACAAAATAAATCATCAATTAGTACTGTAAACCTTTTTGAAAAAGAAAAAATTGAGCTCCTCAATTTGCAAAAGACAATCCGCTTAGTTACATTAGTCATGTATTAAGGGGGAAAAAGATCGGCTGAACAAATATTAACGAGTTGTTAAAGCTAAGCACACTTCGTTTGTATCGGAAATTACGACATACAGCGTCGTAACTCGGAAGCGAGGAGAATCCATCTCTTGCCCTTTTCGACTTTAATTGGCGACAGCCTCTTTCAAAATTAACAACACGACTGTTTGCCGTGGAAGTAAATTTGACTCGGCCTTGGTTAATAGCCGTTAGGTCGTTATATTGACCGTACAAGTCCCTCCATTTCTATATAACTACATTGCTTTAATTGTTTGCATTCCATTACGTAGTACGTCATGTTTGGATTGTCGCGCTGATTCTATGCAAACAGGCGAGGCATCTTTATTTACAGAGAGATCCTGGTTTTGGCCAATTAGGCATTATGCTTTGTTCCTTTCTGGATCTGGTCGCCCTTTCCTCGTCGACGTGAACAGGCGCACAGCCACTCTTCACTTGGTTCATCGCATAGCACATGCCCTTCCCATCCTGGGCAAATACAATTTCCTGGAACAGTGTAGTAACAAACTAAACAATTATTTGTAAACATATTTACATTTTTTTAAGAACTCTCCAGTAAAAAACATGCTCAATTATTGATAATAATAGAAAGATAATCCAAGTACACTACCCCATGATGTATTGGATGAACTATATCAAAACTAAAACATTTCTAAAATGTTAAGGGATTGTTGATCAACGTTTCTGTGAGTGGATGGTCAACTGATGGTAGTACGAGAGATGACGTCAACGAAAGGCATAAAGCAAAGTTATGTTGGGAAAGATGTGGTCAGTAAAATCAGGATTTTCATAATCATTTTATGATTTTGTATTGGGAGTACCTAATGTCATATCTTACTATATAGTTAATTAATTTATATTTGAAATTATGGTGAACTCTAATGTATTAATCTGGTGAACTAAAGCTCAACAAAAGCTAGGAAGCGTACAAGTATAATCAAATCTATCTATCTCAGGGATAATGGCAATCCTTGAATAACCTATTTACACAAGATTCAGGCCAGATAAGTTATAAATACACAAAAATGTCTGTTAACAAAAATATATACACACAAACTAAAAATACTGTACAATTGACGTAGGTATACCTATAAAGGTATAGGTAGGCTAGGTATACCTACACATATTGTGTGGTGATTAGTGACCGTTAGTTGATGATTATTCAGAAATCGTGAGATGCGGTCTGGTGTGACTTAGGTTTTAGAAAAACATTTTCTTTATCGTGACAACGTTTCGATCTTTATTGAGATCATCTTCAGGGCTCAAAGTGTTTGTTTTCTCCGTAATTGTGCCATTCTTGCGTGTCGTGACTGGCACTCTCAACACGACACGCAAAAATGGCACAATTACGGAGAAAACAAACACTTTTTGAGACCTGAAGATGATCTCAATAAAGATCGAAACGTTGGCACGATAAAGAAAATGTTTTTCTTAAACCTACATCACACCAGACCACATCTCACGATTTCTGAATAATAATAATATTGCAATTAAAACTAAAAAGGGACAATTAAATAATATCTTTGTGCCACGTTGTATAGATGAGAGGTAATCAAAGAGGCGGAATTCAAAAGCTTGAAAGATACGAGGGTTTGGGTTTTCTTGGTAACCCGGGTTATGTTTCCACTCTCGATTCATAGGTTGCTTCGCATTTGGAGAAGATCAGGGTGACTACTTCCTCCTCCTCATTGTATAACCTACAAACATGTTCATGTTGACTATACTCATGCTGTGCAGGTGTTTTCTCAGATGGAAGTGACAGGTATGAAGCCCTTTCACCTACTCCCATAAGTTTTACTCCGTCTAATTGTATCAATGCACTTGCCAGTTTTGGGGTTATCCATTTCTCTTTTTGATATGTGTGAACCCATTCTGAGATGGAACAGTGTATTTGATCTTGCAGATTATCTTCTGTCTAGTTGATCTGCTTGTTCATTACCCAATAGTCCTTTGCCTGGCGCCCAAGGTATTGTAATGTTTTTTCCAGCTTTTGGTGGTTTTGAATATATTTTCCGATTATTTCGGATGTGCCGTTTTCACGTGCTAATGCTTTCAGGGCTGCTTGGTTGTCTGATCTCGTTAAGAAATTTTGTCATGGAAGCATTTTTTAAGATTTTTGGCGTTTTCTAATAGCTAGTATTTCAACTTGAAAGACCGAGGTATACTTTACTATATAGATTCCTTCACCTTCATCACTCCCCAGTTTCTCAAATAGTAGAGAATGTAAAAGCAATTTGAAATCTAGTTTCTATCAGGGATTACATTTAAGGTGACTAAGGTGTGTATTTTGAATGCATTAAGGTGATTACTGGGTTTGTGTTTATTATTTAGTTTAATTTATTAACGGATCATATTATCTGGTTACCCGAAACATTGCATTTGGATTATTTCTACTACTGTACTATTACACAATAAACTATATCTTTACACATTTAATATTAAATACAGTTGCACCTGGTTTTAATCCTTAAGTAAATGACATATACAATTATTTTGTTGAATTAATTTATTGTAATTGAGACGTTTTCTTTATTAAATTAGAAAATTACGCCGAAGTTGACTCGAGAGTAACGGAGAAAATCTATTGATTCGGTATTAATGATTTAATCCTAATCCTCACTCGGAATATTGCATTCAATGGCCCTACACCATCAGATTTGTACAAATTCGTTTGCGAGGCTCACACCATCGTTCTCATCATAATTACTGTATTTTCTAATGAGTTTGAGTGCTCATATTTTAGGCTTTCAGAAAATGTACCTGACCTGGTTCCTTCACTGGTTTTTGCACCAAGTACATAATTCTATTTGTGTTTCTTGTTTTCTTCTTCTCTGTAAGCTTTTAACTGAGGATGTTGCAAAGAATGTTTCGGGGGACATATAGTCTGTCCAGAATGAATGTCTGATTTTATTTGGTGTTATTGTTTGTTTGAAATGTCTAGTTCATATTCAATTTATTTGTATTTGGAGTCTATGAGCTTTTTCTAGCTTCTGTTTGTATACACGTTTCCAACGGAGGTAGGTTTAATAGGCCTTGTAGGGCTTCAAAGAGGAATAAAGTATATTTCCTTAAATTTCATTTCATATAATGTACCGTAATAACTTTACTCTGTCCTATGCTGTTTGACAGGAAAATAGTTAAGGAAAAAGTCGAAAACAATCATAACGATTTTATTTGTTAAAAATCCACTTAGAAAATGCTTAAAGGGTAAACCATAGATAATCATTTTATTAAAAAATGGAACGCTGACTAGAAAATTGGTCCTCGGATTACATTGTCAGCTACCTTCAGATCTTTGAAAATTTCGATAGCCGTATTCATATTTGGGTCTTTCACCGCCCAGAAGGAACTATTGAATTTTTTGTTCTTCTTAAGCAATTCAGGTACATTGTAGTAATTGAAGACGCACTGTTATAATTTAAATGAAATATAGTTAAAATAAAACCTTTAGTTGATATAAAAATAAGAACTCACGTGTCTGCAGGCGGTGCCACAGCAGCGTCCGAGGAGTGTGTGCCGGTACCTCGTGTAGACTTTGACTTTGTCGAAGGGATCTTCGTACGTGAAGTGCCATTTCGAGACGGCCGTTTTGTGAGCATCGTGTATTATCTTTTCCTCGTCGGTTAGCAAGTCGAAGTCCACGACCGATTCGCGGATAACTTCGAGTTTCAGAAAATTATCCCTAGCGGATTTGAACTCGCTCTCGAGGGCCGGGGGGTCACAGTAGGTCGAACACTTGTTGAAAAATTGGGGCGACTTGTAGACCGACTGTCTTTCAACAAACTGACACCAAGCGAACCGAGTTATTTTTGAAAAAACCAGCAGCCGCATATTTGTGGATAGAAAATGCATTTTCTCTTATATAACTCCAACCTGAATAGTCTTACAGACTAAAGTTTGAGATGTATAAAACTAATTGTAAATAAAACTATCCATTTTCGAAAAGCAAAATTCGATCTTTTATGAATACACAAACTTTTCTAGATATATTTTGTGCCTGATCAGCTGATACCAAAAAGAACACAAGTATTTGTAACTGTAACTCAATAATGCAATTTTAACTTTTTTATGTGTAGAAGAAATGTTTATTCCAACTAAAATCTAACCGTGAAAAAAAGACCAAGTTCCAAATCTCCTCAAAAAAATGAATCTATATCAATGTAATAATATCCACACTGTGACCAAGTCCGTCCTTTTTTTTAAATACATAACCTGGAGAACTCAAAAGATAAGATAAAAGACTACCGCCCAAAAAAAGTCAGCCTATCGAAGTAGTAGGAGCGTCGGTAGCCGTAATGGTTTAGGCGTTGGTAAGGTGCCCATCACTGTAAGGTAACGGTCCCAGGTTTGAATCCAGCAGCTCTGCATTAGAACCCTGTATACTTACAAATAGGCCTTTTTTTGTAAAAAACGTGATATCTATCTACATTGCGGTAAACCTCACTTCTCTCCTACATTCATGAGCAACACTGTTCTTTTATTTTTATTGATTAACACTTGGCCAGTCTCTGAATGAGCAATGAGGAGTCTGGAACTTTCTTTTATTCTCAGTTCTCTACACATTGTTCAGATGTTTTAATCCACTTTCAGAAGCTGCCCTTCACTTGTAAACAAGTATTAGATTATTACACACTTTGCAATTCTTCACGTTGTCCCCTTACCAAAGAAAATGATGTTATTTGACAGGATTGTTTATGTACGGTTTTGAAATCTGAAAAGGAAAATGGGCTCTATAAACTATTGCAAGAAGTGAGGCAGGAGTCAAAGGCCCAAAATTTGTCTGTTTGAGAGTCCACTTCATTTATCATAACATAAAGTGTGTTCCAAAATTATTTGTTAGGAAAAGACAAGAAATCCAATTTGCCGAAATTTTCCAAGTAAGAGGGTCGACAGTAAACCTCGCTACCTATCTAGAACCAACCTGTGTAACTGGCTCAACAAGTTTGTGCAGACTAGGTTTGGGTAGTCTACTAGTTTTCCAATAAGAGATTCCAGAACGAATATGACAACCTAGCTCAAAGAGTTTGTGCAGCTCTAGTAGAATCTACTTATCTGGAACCAACCAAAGCTTGATCCGAAATTATATTGTTGTCAGGAAAAGCCATACTTTAACATAAATTATAAAGTTTTTAAAACAACCTGTAAATCATAAAATTTATCGTTTTTCCACATTAGTTATTATTTTAAATTGTGGAAAGATAAAATACATCCGTCACTAAAAAGATATTAGGTAGTGACACGCTTTGTAATATTTCACATTATCCCCTTACCAAGAATATACGATAATTTTATTTTATAGTATTTTTTATTTACAGTATTTAATAAATCACGCCCCGAAAACAAAAATGTGGTTATATAATGAAATAAAAACGATTGTTTAGGGAATGATTCGTGCTGTTTTGTAAATTGGCGGTCATGACGCCATTGCACACCCAATATTTCGAAGGTTAAAAACAAAAAAATGTCAATTAATCGCATCCTTTGTATTAATTGTAAAAAAGAAAAGAGATTGTCTTGAAACGTAGACCCGTAGAAGAAAAGGAGAGATAAATTCGTGAACGCCTTTTTTCGATTATCAGCTTGATCCGTGTTTCGTTGATAAGAGTAGCTTAACGTCGGGTTTGCCGAGTCGCCAGCAGGCCTGTCTTACGTGTGCCTTTCCCTGTCGACTTTCGTGTTTCGTACCGTTGTGAAAGTCAAACGACGTTCTTTGCTCAAATGAGGCCGACCGTGTCTCGAGGGCGATACGCTGCTTGTTCGACGTAGATATACACAGAATACAGACAGCCGACAGCGAGATGTTCAAAAGGAGGGTGGACGATCTCGTCCAAAATGTCACCCTGTACAAGCTCCGGCCCATTATATTCCACGGGACCATGTTTCCCTTCATCATTCCCTACCTGGCCTGGTTCTACTGCTGGCTCTTCGTTTACGGGCTTGAGGAGTTTTCAGAAGCCGGTTTCGTCGGGACGGCGGTCATCGCTGTTCTGCAGGTACTCTGCTGCCTATGCTGCTACTGGTCTGTCCACGTGCAGACTTTCCTCAACTGCAAAAAGGTAACCATTTACTATTATCATCAAAAATTATCTTGTTTCCTTTATTGATAACATTATTTAACAAAAAAGAAGGTTATAACCTATTATCTGTTTATAAATAAAGGGCGTGTTTCTACAATTTGAATTATAGAATAATTTAATGTAGAAATATTAATAAATGCGACGGTTTATACTTTTTGATAATTTTATACTTGATAATCAATATTTAAATATGTCTTTTTCCTGACAATAATATAATTAGGGAACCCACTTTGGAAGCATCTAGATGAACTAGGCTCCTTAAACTCTTAGAGCATGGTACACAGGCTGACTCCTGGAAGCCATGTTCACCCCTAGATCCTCTCTCTTGTTGGAAAATTATGCCAAATTGGGTTTTCTTGTTTTTTTCTAACAAATAATTTTTACTCCTTCTATTCCTTTCAAACGAAATTATAAGCTGTGTGCTAATCATAAATAATTATTACCATAATAGGTTCTCTGGACACCTTTGGAAAAGTATGCCAAATTGAGTTTGATTAGGTATATAGTGATAGTTGTCATCAGTAAAAAGTCTCAACCTCTTAACCAGATGTGTCATCATCAAAAACTGCAGTACAAAATTATGTTAAAAAATGGTAGTGTTGTACCGCATCAGTAATGTCAAGGCCCTATAAGCCAAATTTTAGTATAGTCATTATTGATCACCCTTAAGATTCTCAAAAAAATTCCTCCTCCTACCAAGTAATGGAAAAGAGGACCCTCTCACTGGAGAATTACACCAAAATTGGTTTTCTTGTCATGTCCTAACAAATTTTTTGGAATGCACTTGTGGTGTAGATAATAGCATCTCCACATAGACAAACTCCATTAGCGAGTTACCATAATAGGATTGCTTTAAAAAATGTGGGCCTCCTTCCATTCCTTTCAAACGAAATTATAAGCTGTGTGCTAATCATAAATAATTATTTATTACCAAAATAGGTTCTCTGGACCCCATTGGAAAATTATGCCCAATTGAGTTTGATTAGGTATGTAGATGTATTAGTCGGGGTATGATATACTGTGCTAATCATATGTGCTAATCATAAATAATTATTTATTACCAAAATAGGTTCTCTGGACCCCATTGGAAAATTATGCCCAATTGAGTTTGATTAGGTATGTAGATGTATTAGTCGGGGTATGATATACTGCTCCATTTAAGAGCTATCGTATCACCTGTTCTGTGCCTATAGCACACCAGTGAGCCCTATTTCATCAAGGAACTTGATTTGATTAGGTATATCATAGTGATAGTTGTCTCTAGTAAAAAGTCTCATTGTCGTAACCAGATTTGTCTATCACCAACAATGCAATAAAAAATTATAATAAAAATGGTAGTGTTGTACTTCATTAGATGTGCCCTTTGATGGTCACTTGGTAGAGAATAGGTCATACAGGGCCATACGCCAAAATTTAGTTTAGTCATTGTTGATCACCCTCAAAAAAATGCCCCCCCACCAAATAATGGAAAAGAGGATCTTCACAGAGGAAACTTTTGGATTTTCTGTCTATTCCTAATAAATAGAAAACAATGAATTCAAGAGTTAATGAGAATGTGAGTGGTCTTGGATTAAAAACTCCATGCGTTGGGGAAAAAACAAAGTTGATGGTGGTTGAGCTCTTTGATCTTATCTTCTGCGGTGGGCCAGATAAGACTAGTCAGACTGTCAAAAACCCAAGGTAGACGATTGTGACAGCTTTGCATACGTGTGGAAAGTTCGGCTTGAATAAATCAATTCCTAACAAATAATTTTGGAAGACACTTTGTCTCTGGAATGGTATCAATCTTTTTAGAAGGATTGAACACCGCACTCGCTCCACCATTCATCTTTTCTGTGGAATGGTATGTCATTGGAAACTACACTGCTCGGCAAAGAAAGTGGCCACCCTCTTTTTTATGTATTTATTTTTTGAAAATACTTTCAATTGTTATAATTACTTTTTTTACATGCCTTCTTGAGTAACCTTCAGTACCTGAGTAGTGATGGAGTATTGGATTAATTGTTCTGGGAAAGATAAGCACCCTGGCAACATACCCTTGACTTCCTTCATGCTCCAACAATGCTATAATTCTATTCGAATCTCTATCACTTAAAACCATCACTCAAACAAATTAGAAACTTAAAAATGGTTCAACTTAAAAAATCAAACCACTAGAACGTTACAAAGAAGCTTTATAGAAATACAAACAAATAAGAGATTGAGTGTTCAAAGATTTATTTACAAAATCCAATTGTAAACAGAAGGAGATTTTATCTGAGTTTTTATTTATCTCTGATCCCTTAAAATGGACAAAATATTGTAAGATAATGGATGATTGTCTAAAAGATAATTAAGAATGTTACGGGTGTCCACTTTTTGCCTCTCAGTGTATTAGACTACAAAAATCTTAATTGCAAAAATTCATTGAGCCATATGCACAGACTGACACCAGATTGCCAGGTTCACTTTTGAATTTGTCATTGGAAAGTAGCAGGCTCCTCAGACCTTGTTTTGCCAAACCTTCTTAAGCAGACCATCCAGTTCTCTAGGTTTCCTCCTCCATTAAAAAAAAGAAGTCTTTTATTGTACACAGTTGTTTATCTAATAGATCTGGAGTGTAACCAAAATATAGAAAAATTGTGAATGACAAAATACCTCTTGGCCTGACCACCATAATCTGGCTTTCCCACAATAAAAAAGGAACAATATGTTCAAGAGGGAGAGTTAGACTGGATTGACTGAGAAGCTCTTAGGTATCATGGGCATGAGATTTAGTTAGAATTTTTGTGTACTTTATGGTGGACAAAAATGTGAAAGTTGTCCAAACCCTAGTTGCTACTATGGCCAACTATTTGGCCCAATAATGCTAGAAATTGCACTAAAATATTTGATAAATAGATAAATGCATAGCAAATCAATATCAAACTTTCTGAAAATTTATATAAAAGGACAACTTAGAATGTAAATAAACCAGATCTTATGAAAATAAGGGAGAATAGGCAGACCAGGATGATTGGAATAAAAAACTTCATGTTATCAACTTGCCAATCAACATATCACACAATAATTTCTCTTAAGATAGTCAAACCTTTTATTTTTATAAAAGTAATTTTTTGTGTATAAGTTTTGATCAACTAAGTCTGTAAGTTACAAAATTTTCAGACCAACAAACCTGAAGATGCTGAGTTGGTGAAGGTTGTCCCTACCGAAAATAATGGTTCATCCGAATTAGTAGCTTTACAACATCCTGAGGTAAGCATCAAAATTTATACGATAATATGGTCAACATTGTCTTATTGTTTTTTTCATTATGACCCAGGCTATAGGTGATACATCTGAATGGTTTATATTTCAAAAGACAAAATATATATGGAGTGCGGACAAAAAGGAATTCCATGGTCTTGAATTCCCTATAAATTTACAGTATGGTGATTATATGCAGTGGAAAGGGTATCAGGATGAAATTGAGCTTTTGAAAGCTGAAACAAAATATGGCAAGAATAGGTAAATATTTAAATATAATTTGTAGTTAATAGTTATAATAATTTTTAAAAAATTATCTTTCAGGTTGGATATGGCCGTACCAGAATTCATGGAGTTGTTCAAAGAAAGAGCAACTGCACCATTTTTCATTTTTCAAGTTTTCTGTGTCTTCCTTTGGTGTTTGGACAAATATTGGTATTACTCGATATTCACGCTTGTCATGCTGATTCTTTTCGAGTGCACTCTTGTACAGCAGCAGTTAAGGAATATGGCCGAGATAAGAAAAATGGGAAACAAACCATATTCAATTCAGGTAACGCATCATCATAGCTGTTTGTGTTTAAAAGCTTTAAAAAATATTAATAATATTTTTTTAGGTTTACAGAAACAAACGATGGAGATCGATTATGTCTGATCAACTCATTCCAGGGGACATCGTCTCCATAACAAGATCTCAGAGTGATAATTTAGTGCCGTGTGATATGTTGTTACTTAGAGGGCCTTGTATAGTCGATGAAAGCATGCTCACAGGTGTGGTTTCACGTTTTTTACTTCTATGTTACCAGAGCTGATGAGTTTTATGATTTTAGGGGAATCCGTACCACAGATGAAAGAGCCGATAGAAAATTTAGATTCTAAAATTCAGCTAGACATAGATGGCGGTGGAAAATTGCATGTGTTGTATGGTGGTACCAAAGTTGTACAGCATACTCCACCTAGTAAAACCTCATCAGGATTAAGAGGTAAAATTTTATTACATTTGAATCTGATCTGGAAATTCATTAATTTTTTATTTTTTTATTTTACTAGCTCAGGATAATGGATGTGTTGCTTATGTTCTAAGGACTGGATTTAATACATCACAAGGAAAACTCCTCCGCACAATTCTTTATGGAGTAAAACGCGTTACAGCGAACAATCTTGAAACTTTCGGTTTTATTCTATTTTTACTTGTTTTTGCTGTTGCTGCTGCAGTTTATGTTTGGGTCAAAGGTAATTAAAAAAATACTGTAATTAATTTTCTTTGGGATTTATGCTGTATTGAACTTCATAGTGCTTTTTACTTTATTACCCAACATAAAATACAAAAATCTATAAAACCGTTATAAAGTGGACCAATCTAATATACTCCAGTAAAACATGATGAAAAAATTGCGATGTATTCATACAGAACAATAAACATTCCCATATGCCGTGTAAGATAAATTTAATAACATTTTCACATTGTTTGCGATTTTTGGTTAGAAAAGCAAATGTCTACACTTCCTGTTGTTCCACATATGAACAGTGAAGCTGACAGTTTAAAAAAGTAGCAGTTTATAATAAAATAATAATACATATACATTTAAAGGTATAAGAGGAGAATAATTTTATTTGACTTTTAATAAAAATGTGCATTTCACTACTTAATGATTATTCGTTATCAGAAGTTTCAACAAATAAGTTACAATGACGCTGCTAATATTGATTGAACAAATTCATTGCTTGAATAGACCATAGTTTCGTCTTGATTTTGATCATTTAAAAACAGTTCTTTCTCCAGATCTGTAAATCATAAATTGGTCTGATAATGTATGTCCCATAAAACACAATTTCCTATTACATGGGATATATCCCCTGTGTTGTATAGGAGTCTTCAGTACAAAAATAAAATAAAAGATAAATAAACAGCCAAAAAAAGAAGAAAATATCAGTATGTAATTAATTTATTAAAATAAAACTTTTCACACTTTTACAACCAGGCTCTGCAGATCCTACAAGAAATAAATACAAGTTGTTCTTGGAGTGCACGCTCATCCTTACATCAGTCATTCCGCCGGAATTGCCTATTGAACTTTCTCTAGCAGTAAACACGTCCCTTGTTTCGTTGTTCAAGCTCGGTATGTTTTCTCGAGGTTTCATTTAGTTGGTATAAAATTAAACTGTAATTTTAAATTTTTTTTAGCTGTGTTCTGCACGGAGCCATTTAGGATACCGTTTGCGGGCAAAGTGGAAATATGCTGTTTTGACAAGACGGGGACGTTAACAAGTGATGATTTGGTTGTGGAAGGCATAGCTGGAATAGGGTATGTTTTATATTTTTCTAACATTTTTTAAATAGAATCACTGATTACAATTTTTTACATTATGAATTATTTTGTCTAAACAAAATTGCTTAAGGCAAATAAAATGTTATAGAATAACTTATATTTATATTTTTAGAGATAAGCCTGAAGAAGTAACAAATTTGGCTGATGTGCCGCAAGAGAGCATTCAGGTGTTAGCGACATGCCACGCCCTAGCCCAACTTGAGGATGGCATAGTTGGCGATCCATTGGAAAAGGCCACATTATCTGCTATTGACTGGAATCTAACTAAAGGTACGCTGAAAATTTTTAAGTTAAGATTTTTTGTTTAACATATATTCTTTAAGGTGATGCTGTAATCCCAAAGCGAGGAAAAGCCCCTGGGATGAAGATATTTGCAAGGCACCACTTTTCATCCTCCCTGAAGAGGATGTCAGTCATCGCTGGCTACACTGTTCCAGGCACTACCGATACAACTTACATTGCCACGATTAAAGGAGCACCCGAGACACTCAAGGGCATGGTATCGAATTTTATCAACCTTATTTTAAAAAAATTGTATTATATGAGATTTTTTTAGTTTGATGAAGTACCTGAAACATACGATAAAGTCTACCTTGACCTATCACGTCGTGGAGCCAGGGTTTTGGCTCTGGGATGGCGGATGTTAGGCCATTTGTCGCACCAAGAGCTTAGAGAAATGACTAGAGAGCAGGCTGAATCAAAAATGAAATTCGCCGGGTTTATAATAATTTCTTGCCCTTTGAAGCCCGACTCAAAAGCTGTGATCAAAGAGATTGTCAATGCATCTCATTTTGTAAGAAAAAATTATTAAATTTTTTCATTTTATTTTATTTTTTTAATAAATTGTTTTGCAGGTAATGATGATTACTGGTGATAACCCACTTACTGCTTGCCATGTAGCAAAGGAATTAAAATTTATAAGGAAGCCGAGAGGTGTTCTCATTCTGACTGAAGTAAAAAATGATTGGGTTTGGGAAGATATAGAAAAAACCGTCCAATACCCTGTTGATCTACAGCAGGGAATGCTTGTTGAAAAATATGACATATGTATTACTGGAGAGGTCGGAATATTTTTTTCAAATATATATTTTTAAAAAAATCAATTTTTTTCATTTTGTTTAGGCCTTGAGTTATTTAATGAATAAGCACAGCACACTGCTTAGACAAATTTTGCCGCACGTATCTGTATTCGCAAGGGTTGCTCCAAAACAAAAAGAATTTGTTGTTGTCACATTAAAATCTCTGGGATACACGACGCTAATGTGCGGAGATGGAACAAACGACGTAGGTGCCCTTAAACATGCACATTGTGGTGAGTTTTGTTATTTCTCCCCCACCTTAAAATGACCACAAAATAATAAAAGTCTATTAATTTTAATTGAAGGAGTGGCAATTCTTACAAATGCCCCAGAAGCAAAATTAGACATGAAACAAATAGTAAAGGAAAAAGAAAAAGTGAAAATGTTAACAGAACGATTAACAAACAATCCAAGAGGAAACAACGATCAAAGAGCTGTATATATAATTTTTCATCTGTGTTAATTTTCCATGTTCTTTTATAATAGTTTGTACATTCATAAATTTGTTGCAGAACACTATTAATTCAACTAATGAGAAAATCCAGAAATTATTGAAAGAAATTGAAGAAAGTGAGCAAGCTCAAATTGTAAAATTAGGTGATGCCAGCATTGCAGCACCTTTCACAAGCAAGAGATCTTCAATACAGTGCAGTAAGCCCATTTTATTGTTTCTGAAACTTCATTTTGAAAAAAATTGCTCACTTGGATTACTCTCTGAATAATTTTATAACTATTTATTTATTTAAGTTGTTACAGTTATTTTAATGGTTTATGTGATTTTTTGAATACACCTGTAAAAAGTTAGTCACAAGTGGGATTCGAAGCCACGACCTTCGGCTCAATATGCCGCTGCTCTAACTACTTGAGCTATCGTGACTTTGATCCACTCGGACACATAATTTTGTACAAATGTGACACATAAATTAAAGAAGGTTTGATGTTAATATAAGGTGAAATAAGTTGAACTAAATCACATTAATCCATCCAAAGCAATTTTTATTATGGAATCACCCTAAAATTTTAACAAAAGTTTAGCTAAAATCAAAATAATCAAAGAAATAAAATAAATTCCTAAGTGTGCTAAAAAAATTTCTTGTTATAATGTAAATGCTCGTGTTTTATTTATTATTTATTTATTTTATTTTTTTTTTTAACAGTCTGCCATGTGATTAAGCAAGGACGATGTACGTTGGTCACGACCTTACAAATGTTCAAAATTTTAGCGCTAAATGCGTTGATTCTCGCTTATGCCCAATCAGTTCTTTATCTTGATGGCATACGTTTTAGCGATATGCAAGCCACTATACAAGGCTTACTGTTGGCATCGTGCTTTTTGTTCCTTTCCAGATCTAAGGTAAGCAATAGATTTATATAAATAAGAATTTATATAATATATTTTTATTTTTTTTACCATTGGTAGTATACTCAAACTTCCCATAAACAGATACCACTCAGAAATGGGCTTACTTGAAGCGTCTTTTGGTTTTTGCAACTTTTTTGTATAGCCACCCTCATTGAATCTTGGATGCTACTTTCTTATACTACGTAAAACTATGAATAAATTTGAAATACGTGCACAGCAAAAGGCAGAAAACCATATTTCAAAAAAATACCTTAATTACATTTTTTAAAAAGTTTCGGATCCTCAGGTTGTGTTTAATATGTTTCAACCTAGTATCACTAGAAAATATTTTCTTAAAGTTGGTACAAATAGAATAATGCCGGGAAAAATAAATTTTTGATCTTCAAGGATGTCAGGTTGTTAGTGTCCTTTTCAAGAAGTTTTACTGTATATACATATTGTAAAGTTTTGATTGCATTACATTAACAATTCCCAATATTAATATTTGGTGCTGAATGTCCTGAGGGGACAGCATTTGGTGCTCTACCATATAATAAACTTACAATTATAAAGCACAATTATCATTTTCTTTTAGCCTTTAAAAGTCCTTTCGAAGCAAAGGCCTTTACCAAACATATTCAACGCATACACAGTGCTTACAGTGATGCTTCAGTTCACCGTTCACTTTCTGTGCCTGATATATTTAGTACAAGAAGCAAATTTAAGATCTCCTATGAAGTAAGTGTTGACTGTTTTTGTAAAAAAAAAAAAAAATTACAATCTATTTTTGTTGTTAAAAGGTCAAAGAAGCCAGTTAGTATGGATGACGATTCCGAATTTGAACCAAGTTTATTAAACAGTACAGTTTATATAATCTCAATGTCTCTTCAAGTATCAACATTTGCGATAAACTACAGGGTAAGTTGTATGAATTTAGTTTCATAAATTGGCATTCCATGACATAAATTATTTTATTTATCGGAATCCCAAATTTATCATTATTGACAAATTTATAGACACACGTCATTGTCTTTCTTAAATTTGTACGATTCTGCTATCAAATTATACTGCATACTTGCAGAAACACACTTTCGCTGGTATAAATGGTAATTTAAATTTCTTCAGAATTTATAAAAACCTGTTTTAAAAAAATTCTAGTAGAAGTGATAAATTAAAAACAAAAATTATTCTCCTCTAACCTTTTCCCAAATCATCAGGTTTGGCTTTTTCTCTCACCATTCCATATTCCAGCAAGAGTTTTGTGTTGTAGATCACATATGTCACAAAAGTGCAAAGAATATTTATTGTACGGCACAAGTGTTTAACCGCATGTGGCACAAGGGTCTCCTACAAATGAAAGTGTGCTCTTCCAAATACCATCTACTTAATCCTCCTCTACTATCTCCCACATCTAGATTTAGTAGTGCTGCTATTAGTTTCCGTGATGGTCCTTAAATGAACTTCGCATGCTTCTGTCCTGGAATACACTCCCTTGAATCAAGGACTTATTCTGAACCCATTGTCTGATGGATCTACATTTTTGGTAATTTGGTATGTTACAAAAGGATGCCGGGGGTGTTGTCATCAAACTTTCCACAATTTATCGGCTTCCAGTACCCAAGGAAGGATAATTTTGTTGTCCCTAAAGCTGGGTTTCCACTGTGTGAAAATCACTCGCAAAATTTGTCTTGTGTTGTGGTTACCTACCTAGCCAGGACTGTGAAACTTTTGGCATGAAGAAGATTTGGGGTGAGCCGACTGGCTATCTGTTTTGTGTTGTTTGTTTCTCTCCATGTAAATGCACTTGTGTCGAGTATGAGAAAGACCAGAAGGACTGCATTCGTCTTATCCGAATGTACCACAGCTAAAGATAAAACTCATCATAACAAGAACAAGAGAGAGGGTGCGAGGAAGGAAATAAAATCTAAATGTGACAAAGACAAAAAGTACAAGTATCAATTGGAAACAAAACGCATATGCTGCAGTTTCTTGTCAGGTGGCATATGCAGATGGCAATACTTCTCCAGGAGACCTGCAACCACCCGGGAGTGCACCTTCAGCTGAGAGGATACAAAACCTCGAGGGATTGTGGCCCAAACTGGGTGGGCACATGGAGTTGCCATCCTATTAAGAGAAAATATACAGGCATATCAGGTGAATTAATTTAAATATCCAGGGAAATAGTGGTGCTGATGCTCATGATGCTGCGCTCAGTTTACCTACCCCCAAACAGATTGATACATGGTGGTGAGGTGTCTTCCCTTTTTGAGTGCCTATCCCACCAATAATGATGTTGGGCGATTTTAATGCTCAGAACACCTGGTTGGGTTCACGGCATATGGTTGCTAGAGGCAGAGAAATAGGGGGCCTAATTGGAGAATCATGAATGGGCCCCCTGAACAATGGCACCACTATACATATTGATTTAAACACTGTAAGATTTAGTGCGATTGACCTGTTGATAGTCTCGCCCTCCCTGCAAAATGCTCAAGTGGACTCCATTGGGAAACCCCCACTTGAGTGACTACTCCTGATAGTCCTAAGGACATCTCTCATGAAGCAGATGTACCATGTTCTGGCTAGGTTGGGTTCGAAGTAAGCAAATTAGCCACTTTTCTCTGTCATTGACGTTTGCTACCCTCACAGAAGTGTCACCAGAGATCTCCAACTCTTTGAGAAGTAGATCAACTGGGCCGTAGGCAAATTGATTCCCCAGACATGTGGTTCTACCTGTAGACCTCATACCAGGACTGTGCCCGAGCACATACAGAGAAGAATGTACTTTTCAGCGCTTCAGAAGGCACCCGACGGAGAACAATTTGATTACATACAAAGTTAAAGAGCTAGGAAGAGGCGCAACTGTCCCAAGCCAAAAGGGAATTCCTAGTGAAGTATCAGCTCTTGTACTGGGGATGCCTGGCGAAGGATCAGAGGGTTCTCTCTGGCCAAACTAGAATAATGTCGGTGCCAATAAGTACTAAGTATGGAACGTGGGAATGTGACCGAGGTATCAGATGTTGCTGATGAATTGGCATGGCACTTTGTGGCCGTGTCAAACTCTGGCTTACTCCGACAGTTTCTATAGAATGAAAATCGAGACAGATTAATGAGACGATTACTGTATGTCGACGACCTCGCTTTTTCCTTTTGGGGAAAGACCTAACAGAGGTCAGAGAAGTGATGCTGTTAGCAATAAACATTGTGGCTGAAAGTGCTGAGGAAACTGGATTTGCCTGATCAAAAGCTTAGATGGCAGTCACACATTGACGCCGTCAAGGTGAAGTAAAGGAAAGTAATTACTTTATTAAAGTTCATGGATCACTTAAGGTGTGGAGCAAACAGGGAGAACCCACCTGAAAATATTTTACTTGCTGCTGTGCTCAACCTTGTTTTATGGTTCAGCCCGAAAAGCCTGCCTGCAGAGGCTTGATAGGCTCTACTATCAGGTCTTTGAGTGGTCTCTGGAGTGTTCAGAGGAAGCAGCTCACCCTCAGCTATGCAGTTTGGTTCCTTGCCAAACCGGGATATCCGCTTTTGGGTGCAATCCTTAGATGCCAGTGTAGTTGAATATATGAGCAACTTAAGACTCGGATGCAATTTCTTGGAATATGCTTCGGCGAAGCCTTAGGGAGTGCAGGGATGACATTGCGATTGGTACTCAAGCTGGGTAACTGGCTGATTCCGTCCTGAGTCCTCCCTGCCATACTTGTCCAGGAAGATCTTGCCATGTTAGCCGTATCATCTACTCCACTGTACCTTTAATGAGCTAAGTTCTTGAAGCGGTTTTTGGCTCAACTTTATAGACAAGTCTAAGACTGATGAAGGTGTGGTGTGACATGGACACGAGGGTGCATCCACTTTGTGGTCACTGTAGTGTTTACACAGCAGGACTGTATGCGATTTGGCACGTGCTTGGGGTGATTCGAGATGGTGGTGGCTCTGCCTACCTAGTCTGCAATCCCTCAGCGCAGTAACTGTGACAGGTTTTTGATAAACTCCCTTGTAGTGCTTTTGTTGGAGAGATACCATGACTAGTGTCTCAGCAAGACAGTGGTTGTCATCTAGGTAATGGACACATAGGTCTGGAGGGTAATGAATAGGTTGATGAGGCAGCTAAGGCCGGGACATCTCAACCTCCAGACTTAACTACCACAATCTGATGCTAAGAATGCAATAAAATACATAATTAAAAGAAGTGACAAGTGTCAATGGGCCGGGTTGACAGAGAAGCTTTCACGTGCCAAGAGCACTGTTGATGGGTGGCTCCCGGAGGATCTGACTTGTAGAAGAAGAAGGGTCATCTTCATCCGGTTAAGAATAGGCCATGCGAGGTTGGCACACGGGCACTTATTTTTTTTTTCACTTTTTTGGGCCTAATCCCGCATATGTGCCCAAAATGCAGTAAAAGGTTGCTCGATGTGTCCCACCTAATTGAAAGGTGCAAATCCTTAGCTCCATACAGAGAGTGAACAGGAATGCCACTCGATTTGAGATTGGCTTGAGCATGGAAGCGAGTATTTGGGTCCCCTGTTCCAATTTTTGGAGGAAACAGGGTTATTCTATTGTGTATAGTAATAATAGTTCTGTATACCTAGTTGAGTATGAATGTATTTATTAGCATGAATGTGTGTTGTGAGAGGTCGATAGAAGAATGTTGAGAACCCCATCGACCTTCAATTAGGTTAGTTGTATAATATGTGTAATATGTGTAAAGGGTGATGGAGGAATATTGAGTACTCCACCACCCAATGAATGGTATGTAAATAGGATTGAATGTATTTAAGATGAACATGAGTATGAATGGGTTTAGAACTGCATGTGTTGGGTGCTGAATTGTACCCCAATGTTCAACCACGTAAGCTACCATATCTCTCATTCATCTCAACGCACAGTTTATTTTGTGTAATTTCCTTTTATTTTCTGTAACGCTTTATGGCTTGAAATAGATGTTCAACCAACTAGCATTGGGGGCCGCGGTAGCTGAGTGGTTAGTGTGAGAGACTCTCAGCTCATAAGCCCCACAGACGTGGGTATTGTCTGGCATTGTGGCTAATATGCAAACTAGCATAATATTATTAAAAATAAATTTTTCTCTCTTGTGTCTATAATTGTTGTATATAAAAGTGTAATTTTATCATATGGAAATATTTTAATACATAACATTAATTGTTATAATTTAAATATATATAATATGCTAATTACATATAATGATAATTATTTGATCAAATTTTGTTTTTTAATGGGTTTCCGCATAATTCTGACATCGCCCTTGAAATGTATATGCTAATTTAAATAGCAGAACATAAACAATTATAACAATTGCTCGTTAACGACATTGGGCTCGTGCTCAGAATGACCCTTGTGGTAGTTGGACGTTTTCAATTAATGCTGAGACTTGTTATAAAATTGCAGCACACAATAAAGTTAAAGTTTTAAATGTGAAATTTTAAATATAACAACCACCCTGAAACAACTAATTTAAAGAGATTGTACATCCTTATACTAAAATAAGTTAATTGGTTTAATTGTTACTTTATTTTATTTTTACAGGGTCATCCTTTTATGGAAAGCATATTTGAAAACAAGTCACTTTTGTACATAATAACCTGTGCGACTGGTGGCATTTTTGCCTTAGCACTTGGTGTGGTTCCATATGTCGCATATCAGTTTGAAATAATTGATTTCGACCAAGAAGTAATTTAGCTTTAGACAACACAAATATTGTAACTTTTCAAAAATAATTATACACTTTTTATGTTTATATTTTAGTTCCGAATGATCCTCGTTGGAGTTTTATGTGCAGACTTCCTGTTTTCATACATTGTTGACAGAATATGTCTTTTTATTTTTGGAGAAGGACAGTTAAAAATTAAGAAGTGAACTCCACAGCGGCAGGATATGTTACCATCCTTTACTTAACGTAGACTGAATTTTCAATAAGGTTTTCCATTGGAACAATTTTTTTCTCCAGTGTCTGTTGAGCAATCAGAAATATATTTGTTTTATTTTCAGATGCATTTTCTTCTGAAAAATATTAATTAAGAGCTTTCAAAGAAAATATAATATGTGATGGTTGCAAGTGTTTCTTTTCAATTTTTTGTATTGTTCTTGTTATAACATAAAAACAATATTAATTTTCGATAGGTCGAAGTATTTTGAGTTAATATATTTTCCTATTTCTTATGGAGGTTTTTTTATTCTTCGTGAATTCCCTTACTTTTCAAATTATTGCAATACAATGTTTATTGTATTCAGTCTTTTTATTCAATTTTAACAATAATATAATATATATATATAATGTTTCATATTTATTTATTGTATGTCCACAAATTGTATATAAAAAAAAATTTGAATAATTCTGCGTTATTTTTATTAAACATTCAGTATCTCTAATTTGAACTTGGTACACATGGTTGGAATCCTGAACAAATCTATTGAGGTAGCTACCAAAAAGACTAAAATAAAGTCTTACAACAGAGGCTTATCCTAACCATTAAATACATTGTAGAGAAAGAGATAAAAGAGGCGGCCACAGGGTCTTCTGCACCTCGACCTAAGTATCACTAGGCTCACCTTTAATTCCCTCTTAGTATGCTTTAGCAGTCACCTGGAGATTGCTTAGAAAGCAAATAGTAAAACTACAAATGATGTTTATGCTAGTACAATCATTGATTGCTAGTAGTCAGTCACTGATCAATTCTAGAAGTGAAATGAAGGCAGAAAACGATCAGACGATATTCGTTTAATCTGCCGTGAATAATTTGTCAAAGAGCTCAATGCCTTGAATATGCATACATACGTCAATAATAATGTAGCTGGTTCTCAGAGAATAGAGAAAGTCTACTTTATTTTACGCTAGAACAGTTTGTACTATGTACACCATGTGTGCACATAAAATAAAAGTTTTCTAATTTCTGGAAATTTGATGGAGGGCCCACGTAAGGGCTACTGCACACTACAGACTAAACTCGTCCGACAGTTTAGTCTGGTTTGGCTGCAAGTATGAATAGTTTTAGGTTTAGTCTGACTAAATTGTTGGGTTGGTTTGTGGTGCGCACACTGCCCAGTCAGCCGATTTCTGCCTGTTGCAGGTAATGCAGCAATATCAATCCAGTGATTATATATATTTTTGATACCAAATTCATTTAATTATTAAATGTTGGAAACCTTAATGGTAAAGAGGCCGCATAGGCAATTTTAGGCAATATAAGAAGAGAATCGGACTTTTTAAAAGTATGTGATATTTTATAAAAGAATACATTTGTCACAAATCCTATTGGTTCATACAAATATGGTATCTGGCATTTAACAATGGGTTTTAGAAGAGGGAAACTGACTTATTGAAAACAAGATATATTTAAAAAAAAGAAAAAAAATTGTAGATCCCTTTTATTTTTTGTAAGTTACTTGTTTTTAAAATTTTTGCTACATACGATTTGCAGGGGTATCACAGTCAACTTTTGTATTTCAATTTTTCTCGGCAGGTAATGTACGCTCAACAACTCATCACATTTTTGAGAGAAATGCCCTAGGATTGTTAACAAGCACCGCCGTTGGAAAAAATTGTACGTGGACAGGTGGCGGGTCTTTTTTTAAAATTATTATTAAATTAAATAATTTTGTGGTCCGCTTGACCAATTAATACATTACAATTAATTAAGGTTTTTAGTTGAGATGAAAAAAAGTCAATGGCACGAGCGGGATTCGAACCCACGATCTTTGGCTAGATACGCCGCTGCTCTACCACTTTTCATCTCAACTAAAAACCTTAATTAATTGTAATGAATTAATTGGTCAAGCGGACCACGGAATTAGTGAATTTAATGAATTAAATGAAGTATACTTCACTAAAGCTCTCCGAGGCCATTTCATTTGTCGTCGAGAATCCAATTCGATTACACGACATTTGAAAAATGGCAAAAAGGAGGGAAAACTCATACGGTGGGGTTGAGATAGGGAGTTGATGTCCGAGTGGATCGAGGTCACGATAGCTCAGGTGGTAGAGCAGCGGCATATCTAGCCGAAGATTGTGGGTTCGAATCCCGTTCGTGCCATTGACTTTTTTTATCTCAACTAAAAACTTTAATTAATTGTAATTATTATTAAATGGCCTTCAACCACTATGGGTCATTTAGGCCAGGGTGGGTCTTTTTAAATCCAATGTTTTTATTTGTTTTTTTTTAAATTGAAAAACTATGATGTTTTTTAGTTTTATAAGTTTTTATAAAGTTTATTTATTTAAAGTGATTTACAATTTTTATGAAAGTGTGGTGGTAAACCACGCTCTTTGATCATCCAAGACCAATTAAAACATATTAATTTATTTGTTTAGGAAGTACATAGACGACTTATAAATAAAAATATTCATAGAAATCATGAAGGTGGAGTGAGTATGTAGATTGAGGGGGCTGCGGTAACCTAGTGGTTAAGGCGTCAGGCTCTCGGCTAATAGATCCCGCGGTCGTGGGTTCGATCCCCACTGTCGCCTCTGGACTTTTTCTGACGCCTAAAGGTGGCCGCAATTGAAAAAAATTGACATGGCACTCATCAATAGAAGGAGCGGGATCAGATCTCAGCGACCCTGAATTTGGTCCCAACCCCCTTCAAAAACGAGTTTCTTCAATGGAAGAACACCGGGGGCTCAAATTCACACTTGTGTTGCGGCCCCCAAAAAATGGAGCCAGGGATAAAGTACAGCTGTACAGCTGCAGTGCTCAGGAGGGAACTCCTCCATTTCCTGGTATCCATTGTGAAAAAAAATGTAGATTAACTTTTTATAAAAGAGGGATCTACTTACAAATTTGTTGTTAATAACCATCCGAATTTCAAGCTTAAAGCTCATCATTTAGGTGAAGGAGTTACAACCACGTCTCTCGTCATGAACTGCAAACCCGCCGATCACCGCCAACGCGATGTTCGTGGTGTATGAATCCAATTGTTGCTCGTTTTAAAGTTTATTTTTATTTTTTTTCTAGCAACTTATCAATAAATATTTCTTTATATCCATCGTTTTTAGCATTTTTTATTTTTACCAATTGAATAATAAAAAGACATACAAATTAATCACTAATTTAAATATATTTTTCTTACAGTATTTATTAAGATAAAGTTGTTATAACTCCCGCTTTTCGCTCGTTCAAAATTGAGCGGGATTAAAACCAGCTTCTCATTGGAACGTCGCATTGGCGGTTGATCGGCGCTCGGCTGGTTCGATCTTTCAGTCCGTCGAAAGACGTGTTTGTATCTCTTTCAACCTGATGAGCTTTAATTGAAATCCGGATAATTGTAGACAACAAATTCGTAAGTAGAACCAACTTTTTCTAAAACTAAAAATTTTCATGTGTGTGCTAAAATTGTATGTACATGTTATAAAAAGTTCGGTACAGGGGAGGGAGCTGCCATGCAGCCGTTAATCAAGAAGAAAAGAAATCGTTGTTCTTTTAGTAAATTTCACTAAAATTACCATAAACAATACAATGACACTTGAATCTCCAACTCCCACTATGCGAATCAGGGCTCCACAAAATTTTAGATATCCCAACTCTAATTTATTCTGGTTTTGCACAAATAACCCCCTCAAGCTGATGGAAGGCAGTATGCTGTCTCCAAACAAACCAATTACTGAAATGTATTAATGTAAGCTATGTAAGTAAGATACAATAATGCATAACAAACTAATTTCATGTCGATCAATGATTTGATAGTCAACAAATGTGCGCACTTCCTTTGTAGCCAATACTTCGGCTGATGTTTGGCCGACTTTTCATTTGGAGGGCACCCTACCCAACTGTTTAGTCGGGCAGGTGTCGGCTGAGTAGCGGTGGTTGTGTGTGTGTGCACTCACCATGAGACCCAATGCTTAATAAGCAACCAAGTAAACAGTTGGCTGACTGAAAGGCTGATCCTCCTCTGGCCAGTGTGTCTGTCTTTTCATTACCAAAAATTCCTTTGTACCTCCTGGTACCTGTATCATCAGATTGATGTTTCCCCATGTTTTGGAGATTCTGGATGCATTCACTGACTAGGTTTGATGTTTTTTACATGCTAATGCTTTAATAGCTGCTTGGCTGTCTGATCTTGAGGAGTTTTTGTCAGTGTAACCTCTTTTAAAATTTTCTATGCCACAAGCATTGATGGCATGTATTTCAGCTTGAAAGGCAGAGGTGTACTTCCATAATGAGTTTGATTGCTTTTGTGTTTGTACAGAAAACACCAAATCCGGTTGTACATCATTGATCATTTGTTTTGGGGCCATCTGAATACCATTTCATTGTATCTGATGTTTTCCTGAATTCTTTTCTCCTTTATAGTCTGTTGAGACCTTGTTGTGTCTGATTTGATTAATAATTGTGTTCCCGAAGTGGTTAGTTCCCATCCAGTATGATTGATTGTTTCTAGAGCCTAAATTTCCTCCCTTCTCCTTGCATAAATATTTGTTTTGTTCGGGCTGACGCTTAGAACAATCTCATACCATCTCTCATTAATTTGAGGTCACTTTGCATTTAAGTTGAAACAATTTAATCATATTTGCTATTTACCATTTCTATGTACTCACCCCAATATATTACTCAGAAAATTTAAAAAATCCAACAATTCGAGATGTAGTTGAAAAGGATGGTTCTACTCACAAATTTCTTCATCACTGCAAAACTGGTTTCTGAGTGAAGTGGGTAAAATTTTTTTGTCCATTTTGTCTGATAACATAAATAGTTTTTTAATGGTTTTAGTTCAAAACTTTTATTTGGTTTATAATACATAGATGCACCCCCATGGGTCATTGGCAAAGAATTTTATCCATTTTAGTTCCTCAACAGTGAAAACTTTTGAATTTTTTTTTTTTTTTGTTAAATGCTGTTGAAAGGGTCAAAAGGCAGGAAAATATAAAATAAGGAATTCAAATAAGATGTATTAATGAAATACAAAACATAATATTACACATTAACACTGAGTTATTCACCATGTAGTGTTTAGAGATATACACATAATTTATTTATAATTTTTTCTTTGTTGAATGGCATAATTTATCTGTTATTCTTAAAAGTCTCTATTAAAAAATACACCAAACATATATTATAATCTAGTTGAAAATAGATTTGGAACAAAAATGAAAATGACTTGTAAAATAATATGTATTTTACAAAACAAATTTCCAGAGGACATTCTTTTAATATTTAAATTTTATATTCACTGGTGGCAAGCTTAATTTAAATCGCTGTTATTTTAATACCACGAGAGGAAAAATAAAATAGATGGATAAAAATTGTCTACAAGACTATTCTAATTTACAGGAACACAATTTTTTCGGAAGTAATTACGATTTTATAATTTTTTTTTTAAATAGAATAGAATCCAAAATACTTTAACATAGACTAACATTTAGGTCTTTATAATTTTAAATATACTAACATTTTGATCCAACTATTTATATATTTATATTTGGAAATATAATATAGGACTATTGCAACCAGAAGAGTAAATAATCGTTCTCATTATTTAATTTGTTCTTAATAACTTGAGCATCTGAACACAAAACAATTTACAATAATTAAAGATGGAAGCTATGTTTATGTTACTTTCCTTTTCTCCGCTATTATATTACAAGTTTTAAATTACATATTAGTACATTTACAACATACTAATATAACATTCATCTTTATTATCTACTATGTACAGTACTTGAAATGTGGTCTGCACTTAATTTTCTTTACAATGGTACATTTTAGAAGTATGTAAATAAAAAAAAAATACATATAATATATAAAAGAAATGGTGAGTGCAATTAAAATCTACCACGGTAATAAACATTTTAAAGTTATAATTGATCATGGTGATTGTCAGAAAATAATTACTTTAAAAAATTAGATCAATGAAAAAAATACTCTTTTTGTTTCTTAGAGTAATATGACTTATTAAAAACCCTACGTTACTAGTTGTTACAAAACCATATTCACTAGATATCTTAAACCCTATATCAAGGCCAAACGATTAAGTAATAAATTATAAAAAAAGGTTGACTAACCAATCAGTGTATCAAAGATATAGTAAATCACGATTTTTTCCTTGTTTACCTATATTATAAGGTTACAACATACCATTTAAACTATAAATGGGCCCTAGTGTAAATTCCTAGATTCGGCACCGAGCCCATAATTTCAGAACACCTAACATCTATAGATTAAAACAGTATCACACATTTTCTCAGATAATATCATCTTGAGAATTCTAAAAGTCGAGATTTATCACCGCACGATCAGACGGGAGGGTTTGTTTAAATCCCGATAATGAGATCATGGTCGCATCGTAAGGACGCAGCATTATTCTTTTCTTAGAGGAAGCTCAGTCAAATTTTTTTCGGGTGCGAGTCGCTGTTCTCTACTCATATAAGATGTTGATAGAGAGGATCATCGGTGTGCACCTCACTAGGCTTATATGAAGAGTAGTAAACCAACTTCGTCTGTTGTTGGCTCACAGCGGAAGCTGATCTCTTCACCTCCGTCGAACTAACACTGTTGCTGCTTGTACTCGATGATTTCAACCACTCATGCCTCATCGCTTCTTCTGGGACAAGCCTCTTGTTGGCATCCCAACTGAAAAATAAAGAAAAACATCATATTTAAACAATGTAGACGTCATTGTGTTTCTGATTCATATGTTTCTGTTTGGTAATTCTTTTAGCAATAATAATTTCAATTTTTTAATAAAAATAGTTCACTTTTTCAAAAATCAAAATCTGTCAATAGAACTAAAGTTCTACTTCCTAGATATCTACATAATTTAATAAATTAACATGGATATGCTTTTGGACTGGATTCACACCTTCTTTTGTGTGACCATTGTTCTACCATTGATTTCATGTAACCAGTAGTATGTAGTACATAGTTGGTTTAGCTTAGAATTAAGTAAAGTTTGGGTTGGGTTTGGTTAGGTTAGGCATGGTTAACATTAGAGACGAGTTTGTTCAATTTAAATAGGGTTAGCGTTAGGAACGGATTTGGTTTGGCTAGATAAGATTAGTGTTAGGGACAGGTTTGGTTAGGTTAGATGGGGTTAGCATTAGAGACAAGTTTGGTTAGGTTAGATAGGGTTAATGAAAAGAAAAATGTAAGGTACAATGCACATTGTGTAGCAAACTTTTTTGAGTACCTCAAATTTTCTATTAATTAAAGCAATTAGAATTTTGGGTACCAGACTTAATGATTTTGGTAAATGAAATACAAGTAAAAACGTGTTTTCTAGCAATTTTTGATTTTGGGCATCCACAAACAAGCAACCAATGAGTTATGATGGCTGGGACACAAAGAATGCAATCAGAAATGGCTCGTCTGGCAATACCAGGAAAAGAAGTAGAGTGAATGAAGCCAATTTTGGATTGTAGTTCATTCATAATACTATGAAGAAAATTTTTAAACTTACCATAAACACTTTGAAATAAAGTCAACAAAAAGTTTATCGTTGCAGCGAATAGCTAAAGCAAGTGTGAGTGTTCCAGGTATTCGCTTTCTTCCTTTGCTGTTGAAGTAACTTCTTGGATTGCCCCTGGAGTCTGGATAATTTTTTTTATATTAGTACACAACTAACAAATACATTATTTTAAAAAAATGTACATACCAAAAAATAATCTTTTCCTGGACGCTTTTAACAAAAGGTCTTCAGGAGGCACTCCTAACAATTCCATAATGCATGCAAGCTGTTCTGCTTCATGTTCACCAGGAAATAAAGGATACCCTGTGTACAGCTCAGCCAATATGCAGCCTAAATAATACCAAAATTATTGAAAAAAATTGACTCTATTTATAATTTTTTATTACAGTTCAAAAACACAAACCTAAACTCCACATGTCAATAGCTGTATTGTAAGGCAAGCCCAATAAGACCTCAGGGCTTCTGTAAAACCGTGACTGTATGTATGTATAGACCCTTTGGTGAACATAACAGGAACTGCCGAAATCAATTACTTTAATCGAAGTGCTGCCTCTTCTGCAGACTAAAATATTTTCCTGAAAAAAATAAAAAATAAACATGAGATGCTAGGTTGATTTCATATCGATAAACAAACAAATTAATTTTTGACTTACAGGTTTGAGATCACAGTGAATTATATTCTCTTCGTAGAGAAGTTTTAAACATTTGACAAGCGATTGTGCAAATCTCTTGATAAGAGGGATGGAAAAACCTTGGTAGTTGTTTTTCTTAATCAGTTCGTACAGGTTCAGACTGCAACATAAACAAACAATGTTACAAATAGCCTTATTTATTAATCATTAAACAATTTAAAAAAATTACTTACTTCATTAACTCAAAAGTGATGCATAAGTGATTACGGAAATAAAAGAAATCAAGCATATGCACTACATTGTGAGATGAATCTTGGTCCTTCTGTCTCAAGTGGTCAAGAATTTTGACTTCAACAACAGCTTGATGGTGAAACCGCTTTTTATTTCTGCAAATTTGAGAGTAAACGTTTATCCTTGAATTATTTAAAGGGGGAAAACATTCAAATTATAAAAAAACTTACCTAATTATTTTTATGGCGATGTATTGATGTGTTTTATGATCGAATGCTCTAATGACTTGGCCGAAACTACCTTTTCCAATGATTTCAAGAATTTCATACCGGTAACATAAATGATCACGCATTATCTGAAACAAATTTTTAAAAAATATTATTGTTGAATGTTTTTATTGATTCTAAAATAGTATTTACCTTTCTATAGCTCCCATTTTCGTCATCGTATCCACCATTTCGATCAGCTGTCTTATCCCCTTTGATCTTGCAAGCTCCTAATCCTAGATACCATATTTCTCCAAAGTTGAGGATTTCAATCCGTTCATATGGTGTTAGTCGACTTCCATAGTACTTTAGCGCCTCTGCAATGATTAATAAAAAAAATATTAAAATTTTTACAACTATGATCATGATAGATAAACAAAATACTCTTACCATTTGGAGTTAGTGGGCTCTTATCTTGATAATTGTTATTGTTGTTGTTGTTATTGTGTTGAGAAGTATTGTCATTTAGGTGGGGGAGGACTGGTGTTGAGTTTGAAGATGAATCAGACTTTGTTGAAGGCTTGCTCGATGGTGGAAGTTGAGCTTTAATGACATTTTTCAATGGTGGTAACTGCAAAAAAATATACAAAACATATAATATACATTTATTTAAAAGTCAACATTAAAAGAAAGAAAGATTGATTTATAATAAAATAGCTTGATGCATTTAACATAGTGTTGGAACTACAAAATATGAACAAGGGTGTTTTTATCTTTTTACATAAGCTCAAATCATGTACAGAATTAAGCCTCCAGAGCCAGACTTTAGCACCGTAAATATCCAACCACCTAGGTTTAGGTTGGGTCCTCAGTGCTGTCAACAGCTAGGTAATTTCAGCACCCAACACTAGTTACTAAATCCAAACCCATTCACTCTTAAATACATGCTTTCCTCATTGCATGTCATTCGGTTAGGGTGATGGAGTACTTAATCCTCCATCAACTTTACACCTACACTAACCTAATTGAGGGTCGATTGGTACTCTATATTCCACCATCGATTCTCTCAAACTACACATTCACGCCAGTAAATACATACACTAGGGGCACAAAACTATCATTACTATATACAATAACACAACTCTGTTTCCTCCAAGAATAGTTAAATAATGATAAAATCGATCTCAAGTATTGCAGGGTGTAGTCAGCCATTGGGGGTCCAATTAATTTGCACCGAGCGTTGAGCAAGCGGTCTTCTTCGTACTAGGCCGTTGTCACATTCACTACACAATTTAATGATTCACAACGGCATTTAAGGAATGGCTAATAGACAGGAAAAGACGTCTGCAGCCCGGATTTCTACGTACGGCTTCGAGTATATGACTAAGTGTGAATACGAAAATAATAACTAATCCACAGGGATTTTTGAACGTCAAACTTAATAAGAAAACCAGTTAAATTATTCAGACAAGCTTAATTTCTACGTCAACAGGAAGTTTATTTCAATCCGTGAATTACCTGATATGTCTACTAAGTGTGTATAAAAGGATTATTATTATTTTTTTTTTTTTTTAAATTTAATAACGGTGAAAAGTATAACCCAGAAAGACTTACCATAACAACCTGCTATTTCACTACTTTGGCTGAAAATTTATGGAAAGCGAAGATAGTAATGATCAAATTTTTCTATGGATATTTGAGAAGAGACAGTATTGATCACAATAGACCCAAAAGTATGAGAACATGTAATCATGAGTTTTCAAGATTAAATAATGATTGGTTTTTTATATTGTTAATTATTAACTAGAGATCGTGAGATGTGGATTGGTGTGATGTAGATTTAGAAAAACATTTTCTTTATCGTGCCAACGTTTCCATCTTTATTGAGGTCATCTTCAGGGCCTGGGATTTATAAACATTGTTTAAATTATACAGATGCATGTGAGATGTGAAAATGAATTTATACAATGATATTAATTTTAGGTTTAATCAAAGTAATTTATATGTATACTACTTGAGTAAAAATACTTTGATTAAAATGTTTATAAATCCCAGGCGCGGAGGATGATCTCAATAAAGACTGAAACGTTGGCACGATAAAGAAAATGTTTTTCTAAACCTACATCACACCAGACCGCATCTCACGATCTCTAAATAACCATTAATTAACGGTCACTAAATACCACACCTTGTTAATTATCATTATCTTCTTCATAAGTCATAAGAAATAAAGATTTCAGACGCCCAAAAGAATCAATTCTGTGTTGTAGAAGTTTCTTAATTTATACACCCAAAGAAAAAAGAAAGGGTCCGTCAAGGCCTTCAGGTCTTCTTTTCAGTCTTCTTAAAAAAACAAAAAAAACTTAAGACTGCTGTGAGCAATAAATTTGATCTTTTATTGTTAACATAGTCAGTAAATTTCCACTTGGTTCAATAAAAATCAATGTTGTTACAAGAAATTTATTTAACAAATGCTATTTCTAAGCGACTTTTTGAAATCTTGAATAGCAAGCAGAAATAAATCGCAGTGTATCCAAACAGACATTTTATGTTGAAAACTAATTTCTTATTATAACATTGACAAAAAATCGAACAATAACAATTTGAACTAACACCAAATCTGGTGCATTTCTGTTATAATTTTTGCAATTTTGGATGAATTGGGTCCGCCAAGTTTTCCTTTATGACGTTAAACATTTGACACCACGTGCATATGTAATTTGCCTTTTTCTTAGAATATGATAGAGCGTTCATTAGGAGGATACAGCTAAAATGACAGGGCTCGTAGCTTTTATTATAAGGTGTTGACGATTATTATAGATCTACCTAAAATAAATCGGAAATTGCTAAAAACAAAAATCGATTTTTTAGGACATGACGAGTTTCTAAAACGACCGATTCAAATGTAAAACGTGAGACTTAATATATACGTCAAAAAATCAAGACTGATCCCTGACCTGGCTGATTCCTACAATTTTAAGATTCTGAAGGCCGGAAGGAGATAGAAGGCACACGAGATACGTTTTGATATATAACAGAGATAAGCTTTATTTATTTATTTTTAAAGTAAACCGGCGGCGTCTGTCCCAAATAAACAAATCAGTTTTTCGGCAGTTTTCGCGTATGGCGAAAAATACAGAAGAACCAGAGAATAACTTTCTTCCGGATTATTCATATTAAAAATTATTCTAAGTGCACAAACAGAATTCGACCACAATTAAAATAAATTGATAACAGAAAATGATGTTACACTTTAAGTGAAAGCCAACACGGTTTATGAGCATCGTCATGATCTATCAGTAAATGGGCTATGAATTATCCGAGAATAAACTGATTTCGACCTAGTTTTGTTTTTCTGACTAACAAGTTTCCCAATTACTCATTTGGCATCTTGCCGATTCAACAAAGAAGAATATGTATCATAAAGTCAAACAATTATTAAGCTACAATTAAATCAGAAGTTAAAAGTGTGTGAGAGAAAGAGAGAGAGAGAGAGAGAGAGAGAGAGAGAGAGAGAGAGAGAGGGGGAGAGAGAGAGGGAGAGAGAGAGAGAAGAGTGTGTGGAAGAGAATGTGCTAAGCGTAGGGTAGAGAGATAGAGACAGACAGATAGATAGATATAAAGAGATGAGACCGATAGGCCGATAGTGTGTGTACAATGAATCATGAAGAGACAAAGAGATAAATAGATAAAGAGAGGTATATGAGAGAGAGAGAAACAGGTAAAGATAGAGAGAAAAGAGAAACAGAGAGCGTGCAAGTAAGAATGTGAGACCTGAAAGAGAAGTACGAGAGAGAGGGAGGGAGAGAGAGGAGAGAGAGGGAGAGGGAGAGGGAGAGGGAGAGAGAGAGAGAGAGAGAGAGATGAGTGAAAGTGAGAGAGCAGAAAAGAGGAGAGACAGAGGGTCTGAGAAAGGGAGAAGAGAGGTACTAATAGGTAAATATGTAGTAGATCTCATTCTCTATAGTAGCTTTGAGAATAAGAGTAAAAATTATTTAATTTCAATCATTGTGTAGGATGTATTCTCTACAGAAAATCGAATGCGGACCGACAATTAAAAAGTAAGATAAACTTATCGGCTGTCTTTGTGAATCTCTGCGGAGTACAGTTATTTCCACAGAGATCTTCACGCACTTCGTGTTCTGTCGCGCACTCTTTTCCCTGTAAAAAGTAGAGCGATGTTAATGAGTTCGTTAATACCGAGTAAGGATGCATTATCGGTCGACTATAAAAACAACTTGAAAGCGTAAATTGTTATTAATTTGAAACTAAAAAAATACAACTTTTCTTACCTCTGGTTGCGAGCTTTTGGCCGGCATTGCATTTCTGAGTTTGCTGTGCGGCGTCGGCTGTGTTTTCGTCACTACGTTGAATTTGGCAAAAACGTCCTTAGTCTGGTGGACCGCCCCGGGACTCTGAAAGGAAAGAGAGAACACATGAGGGACCTGCAGTAAAAAGAAGAGAAAGAGAGTGGAAAATGGGAAAATTATGTAAGATAAGAGAGGGGGGACATGTTAGAAGAATGACTCCGTTTTCCCCATTACCTAAACCGTACCGAGAAGAATTGCCATCGGCCGGACTTACGTGTCGCCTCGCCGTCACAGTCACGACGCAGTACTCGTAGTCGAAAAACATTCTTTAAAAAAACATTTTTCCACTCGCTAAGGAGTCTTGAACGAAAGTACGAAAGATCTGGGCCTTTTTGTTTGGGATATACATGCTTGTAAAGATAAGATAAAATAGTAGAGACGACGAAGTAGGGGTGCGTCGTGGCCGCTACCTTAGTTTTACATTTGCTAGCAGATAGCTTTATTTTGAAAAGGTTTTTAACAACTTAAAAAGAAGAATATGTTTTTCTTGGCTCACACTTAAAAAACGAAAGGGATTTTTGCTTTTCCTACTTCAACGTTAACTCTTTCGACTATTTCGGTATTTGTTAGATGGCACAGAAGCGGCTAAGAATAATTTATTGATACGGTCGGGTGGAACCGTTAAAACAAATGCCACTCACTTAGGAAGCTCGAGATTGCGCTTTATGACAAGTGTTCTAAGAGGAAATACGTACAGCAACCTAGGCCTTAGATTATTACATTCGTAAAATAACGTGCTTCTTTGCCAGAAATGTTGCCATATCGATAATTAAAACTATAAAACAATAATCATAATAAATGTAAGATAAGTTAAGTCAGATTATGTGGCTTTTGCTCTACGTCCATCTAAGGTAAATAGTATCTGGTTTTAGATTCCACTACCTCTAATATTTATAAAGTTTATAAACACGTAACTATTTTAAATAAATTTATCATCTTTAAGGTGTATTTTGTATGGACATAGTAATAAAAATGTTGTGATTTGCGTAAAAACTTTTAATAGTTTTTAAAACTACTCTTCCAAGAGGCAAGATCCCATTGTATTCCGATCAGTTGTGCATCGGAATGTCGTCATTCCCTCCAAGTCGTTCAATAACTTTCAGCACCAACAAACAAGTTTAACTTTACACGTTAACTTACCAATCAATGTTACCCTTTGCTTCTTTGTAAATATTATTAATTGGGAATTTTGTACCTATCTTGCGCTCTCGGATGGTGGCTATACTCTTTAGCAGAATACATTTGAAGTACCGTTGCCCGGTCAAATTACTGGGAGGTCCGAAGCTTCCTTGTGTATCACCTTAAGGGATAAATCACTGGCATACAAAGAATTTGTACGACATATATTGACTATAATCAAGATAATGATATAACTAATCTACTGGACGAGTACAAGATCAACACGGGAAACCATTCCTGGATATATTGAATTACCGGGTCTATCCAGGTTTCGCCTGTGGAAAAGACGTTTTAAGTAGCCTAGCCAGGCGAGTATCTACATTTAGATTATGGGTACATACATATTTGCATATACGAACATTTATTGGAGTTGTTATTATGTTGTAACTAATTGGACAAATTGATAAACGTATAAAAGATTTTCGGCCCTAATGTAATTTATACGGGTCACACCGGGTACCTTTTGACGCTTAAGGCCACGATAAAAACACGGACTAACATTTAAATAATATATTGCTAGAGGAGTGGTTTTGACAGGGAAATATGAAAAGTCGGTTAATATTTTCTGCTTTTATTTGCTGGGTTATATACTGACTTAGCCAGCCAAATTGAAACGCGAAAATGCTTAATTTACTTATTTAACTAAGTTTAAACTTTCAATTTAAAAGTGTTTTCGATACACGTTACAGAAATTCTTTAATAAAGTTCAGAAACACGTAAGCATTTTTCCTATGAGGACGTTTCATGAGTCAAAGGTGGTTTTTACGTTTGGAAAAGAACATAGAAACCTGCCAGATAAGTTTTTACAGGAGGTCTGTGCGTTTCGGTCGGGATTTTATCACAGAGGAGATTTCCAAGTTAACAGATAACGCAAGAATTCAGGCAGAGATTTTTTTATCTATGGCACATCCTCTGTGAGTCAAGAGTAAAACTCTATTTGAGACCTAGCTTACTAACATTTAAAAAAAGTACTTAAAAATCATTAAAATACGTCGTCCCATGAATTTCGTTAGAAAGTATTTTCTCTTCTGGCCACTTGATCGAGGCTAAACACCCAACAAAAAGTGATGAGGTAGGATGACGAAAACCAAAAAGGAAGGTAAAGAAGACAGGTATAAGAGAAAATGTATTTCTTACATATTACCGTGCTAATACATATCTAAAAATACATTTTTCAAATTTCTAGGCCGCTTTTTTGTTTGTTCAGTTGTCTTTATAAAAATCACCGTGAATTTCACATCACGGTCAGAGACGACAATGCAAGGCGTGCCCCTTTCTAGAAAGTTCGCACAGGTCGCCACGAATAGGATTTTTATTGGGTCTCGTTTTTCAAAAAGGCGCCTGGGTTAATTTAAAAATTAAAACTTAAAGCTGGCTTTTATGCCCACCTGCGACAGGCGATTATCTCTCGTGACCTCAAAGGAAAATTGAATATAATGCTTCTGCAAAGTCAGCTCGATTTGAAAGCCAAAAAATGAGCTGAAGAAGAAAAGTGGCGCTGTCACGAGTTAGAAAATGTATAATTTTGATCCTTAAATCGCGCCTATGACAAGCATTTTACAACAAATCAAATAGATTCATGTTTTGACTGTACTAAGTTTTAATATAATTTATTTATAGCCTGTACATTATGACTCTATGGCCAGCACTGCACCCGGAGGACAGGTTAAAAGAAACCAATCAACGCCGGCAGTCAATATGAGGGATTAAAGGCGAGAGGTCTCGCGGGCTTGGGCAGTAGGGCTTGGTTGGATCGAAAGCTTGGTTTAAAATTTTTGGAAGCTGGATTGAATCAGTTCATCGATAAAAGTAACGTTAAGGTTGTTGTAGATAGTGAGTTTAGTGATGTACTATGGAGTCCTACAATCCTCCTACCTGAGGACTTTCGATTGGAGGATTTCGGATGGCTTGGCGAAACTTCACAGTTCCACTCTGTTTGTCCAAATTGTTCGCAGTAATGTTTTGTAAAAGTTAGTTATGACGGGCAAAACAGAAGTCGGTCCATAAAGTCTTCGTAATTGTCCAAGTCTTCTGTTAAGATGTTCTTTCTTAAGTCGCGTGTGGGGATTCCACATATATCTCACTGGCTCCTTTTTATGGATGTACAAGATTTTATTTTCTGTGCTACTCTCGGATGTTGGAGGAACCTGTATAGGATTCGGATTAGATGACAAAATTGCGGTATTATCCTCGAAGGTGGTAATAATAATTGAAATAATAATCCTTTCTCTCTGCGCCTAACCTTGATTTTCAACTTTTTCACTTAATTTAATATCGGGTTGTCCGGAAAATAATGCAGGATTTTAAGTTTTCATTAAAAAAAATCTATATAAAATATTCTGTTTACGTTTACAGGATTACTCATTTGTATGAATGTCAACACTTATTAATCCTCTTCCAAATGATATTGTTTGTTTACCTCTGTAGCATTCCGCTACTTGGAAATAATTCAGTCATCCTTATAATGTCAAAGCGAGAATTTCGTACGATTTTCTTTTACGAGTTTAAACTCGGCCGAAGCGGAGCCCAAACGGCTAGAAACATTAACCAAGTCTGGGGCGAGGGTTGTGTTAATGAGTGCACTGTGCAAAGGTGGTTTAAAAAATTTCGGGAGGGAGATTTCAGCCTTGAAGATGAAGAAGGTCGTGGAAGGCCTTCCTCTCTTAATGATGATGTTCTGCGATCAGTGGTGGGTGCAGAGCAACTCAAAGTCAGTAAAACGACCGTCGCTGACCACCTCAAGGCGATTGGAAAAGTGAAAAAACTCGAAAATTGGGTTCCACACTCATTAAACGATCGCCAAAAAAATCAGCGCTTTGATGTTTGTGCATCACTTCTTTGTCGAAACAAAAATGACCCATTTCTGGCCAGAATTGTTACATGTGACGAAAAGTGGATTCTCTACGATAACACTAGACGTTCTGGACAGTGGCTCGACAAAGGAGAAGCTCCAATACATTTTCCAAAGCCCCCAACTCATCAAAAAAAGGTAATGGTTACGGTATGGTGGGCTTCATTTGGTTTAATACACTACAGCTTCTTAAATCCTGGCGAAACCATCAATGCTGAATCATACTGTAACCAAATTAATACCATGCATCAGAAATTGGCAGTAATGAAGCCCTCTTTGGTCAATCGGAAAGGGCCCATTTTGTTGCATGACAACGCTCGACCACATGTGTCACGTGTAACGTCACAAAAATTATTGGAGCTTGGCTATGAAACTTTGCCTCACCCACCCTACTCTCCGGACCTCTCGCCTACTGACTACCATTTTTTTAGACACCTGGACCACTACTTACAACACATAATATTCAAAAATCAAACGGAACTGGAAAATGCATTTATTGACTTTATCAATTCTAAAAATTCTGAATTCTACTCAGACGGAATTAATAAGTTACCAACACGTTGGGAGAAATGTATTGAGAGTATGGGAAATTATTTTGATTAAAGAACATTGCTTTAAAGTAACTAGTTTCTTTTTTTTTGTTTAATACCAAAATCCTGCATTATTTTCCGGACAACCCAATAATATAATAAATGAATAAATTTAAATTACATGTTGTGGAACTCGCTCCGACGGGTGCTTTATAAAAATATTAATTCAAAGCAATAAATTTTCCCTTGTTTGTTCATAAATAAATTGATCTGACTAAAAGTCTATCAAGAGAAGCTTGGATAAAACTTATTTAAACTTAATTCAAAACACTAAAGGCAATAACTAAAAGATGAATTGCTACGTTATGTACGATTATAAAGTTAATAAAAAAAAAACATAATTCTAATATAGGTAATCAGTTTCCTTGTTACCTGGACTTTTATAGGAAAATTGTCATGTTTGTCTTGACTTTTATGATGATTGA